GCCCTTCGACAGAGCGCTTTTGTGCGCGCTCAGCTCTTCCTCTTGCAGGCCCCGCCTCCCTGAGGAGGAGGAGCTGCTGCTGCTTGCGGTGTGTGTGGGGGGGGTGGGGGCGGCCAGGGCTGCTGAGACTTACCCACGCGGTAGTGGACACAGCCCTCCATGTCCCCCACGGTGGTCCAGCCCTGCTTCTTCTCCACTTCCGGATCGTTGTGCAAAATTTTGTTCCGCAGCCAAGAGAGGTAGTAGACGCGTAGCTTGTTCCTCTTCCCTAAGATGGGGGGGGGAGGGGAGGGGAGGGGGCACCAAAGGCATGTCACTCATGGGGGAGGTGAGACGGCGCCCACATTTCACAACCACGCAGAGCAGGGAGCAAGGGAGAGAGGTTTGTGGGTGCAACTGGGTCTTTTCCCTACCCTCCCTGCTCCTGAGTCAGACCCCCCACGAGGTCCAAAACTTCAGACCGAGCGGCCCCCCGGGGTCTTTAGGTCTTTAGGACCCTCAGACCCTGGGCCCCCCCCCCCCCAGGCCCGTGCTTTCGACTCAGGCCGGCAGTGGGCCCCTGGGGTCTCACGTGGAGGCCTTTCCCATCCCCTGCGACGTGAACTTTCTAAAGTGGAAATGCTGCCAGGGACTGAGCCTGGGGGCGTTGGCGTGGCAAGCAGAGGCTCTGCCACTGAGCCTGAGAGCTTCTGCCCGACAAGCAGAGGCTCTGCCAGCCCCTCAGGGTCCCCCTCACGCCTGCAGGTCCCTTGACTCGGGACAAAGGGGGGTGGGGGGGTTCAGGAGAGACTGCCGGCAGGGGAGGTGTCCCCTCCTCCTCCTCCTCGCGCCCCTCACCTGAGATGGTGGTCAGCAGGTTGAGCCCTTCTAAGACATCCATCTGCTGGAAGCGGCGGCGGCTGATGAGGCTGTACACCTTGCCCTGCCCGCTCCGGTCCAGGAGCATCAGGCCGTTCTCTGTACCCACCAGCAAGTTGACGCCTGCGGGGCCCCCCCAAGGCAGAGAGGGTGGGTGGGTGAGCGCCCCCCCACGAGCCACCTGTTCCCCCCTCCGTTCCCTTCCCAGCCTCACCCCAAAGGGCGGCGCACAGGATCTCCGAGTTGAAGCGCTTCTTGTATTTGCGGATCTCAGGCGTGTCGCTGTGGGGCCGCGTGTTGGTGGGGTTCACGTTGACCACGGAGCCTTTCCTGGCTTCCAGCTGCAGCTGCTCGAGCCGACTGGGGTCGAAGGCTGCAAAGGCACCACGCAGGGGGAGGGTGAGAAGGCCTTCCCGCTCGGTCGGACCCCCCCATCTTTCTCAGAGCTGGGTTCAAGTCTGGATGGGATTTCGCCCTTGCTCTTTAGGTCCCAGGGCTGTAGCGGCCACACCGCTGGAGTAACAAGGATCAGAACCCTGGAGACCCCCTGCACAAAGCAGGAAATTCACACATTCCTCCCCCTCCACACCTCCAGTGACCCCTGCTCCACACCCAGAAGACGGCAAAAACCCTCCCAGATCCCTGGCCAAACTGGCCTGGAGAAAAACTGCTGCCTGACCCCACAGAATCAAGAGCGAGCCCTTGTGAGGGGGGAGGGCCCGCGTGATGGGTCGCAAGCACAGAACTTGTGCAGAGTGCCACCACCGGACGCTTGCTCACAACAGGAAGGCCCCAGTCCTCATGATGACCCTGGAGGGAAGGAAGGAGGCAGGCCACCCTCTCCGGTGGGCCAGGCTTTGGCGCTTGGCACACAGATCTTTGCGCCCCTACCTGAGGCAGTTGATGCCTTCCCCAAAGTCCCTATGGAAGGCACCTGTAATGATTCCAAGCTTTGGTGTGTGTGTTCCTTGAAATGTTTAGTTTGACTGCAGTAATATGAGAAGAGTGATAGGGGGAGATGAGTGTGCTGTGATTCGCTGCTGACTGAGAGTGTGGGAGGGCGGGTGTCTGAGAGGAGTCTCTGTGTGTGTGTCTATGAGGAGATTCTGCGATATGAGAGAGACAAGTATGGAAGAGTTTTGAAGAGAGTCTGTGTGACTCAAGAGAGTTATGAAGGATTCTGTGTGTGAAGTTTGAAGAGTGAACATAGTCTGTGTGATTATAGGATTTGGAGTCGATTTCTGAGTGAATAAAACCAACAGTTTAGTCTGTGTGGCTAAGAGAGTTGATTCTATTCAGTGTGAATAAAACAAAAAGACTAGCCTGTGTGGCTGTGTATAAGAGAGAGAGCGTATACTAAGTAAGCCTGTCAGAGTGGAGTTTGGAGTTTGAGAGACTGTTTGGGGTACCAAGCTTTGCCGGTTATATTTACACATTCCTTTCTTCAGCAACTGTTCAAAATCACCAGAAACCTATTTTGTTCTTTATTAAATAAATCAATTTTTGTTTAAACTTATTCCAGAAATCAGTACAGCCTAGGGGCCACATAGTACTCTGAAGTGCCCAGACCCTAGGTCATACTACCAAAAGAGAGAGAATTGAAATTTTTAATTCCTGGTTGCAGCAGAAAACTACCAAGTTTATATACACACAGAGTGTTTAAAGGTAAAACCGTCTCCCGAAAAGCAAGGACGTCACAGCACCTCCTTCTCTGCCCCTCACCGGTTATGGGGACGGTGTCTCCGCTTCCGCCTGAGCTCTGGTAGATGCCCAAATCCACAAACATGGTGAAGGAGCTCTTCCCAGGCGCTTTGACAAGGCCCCGCGACTGATACTGTGACAGGGGAAAGAAAGCTGAAGCAAGTGTGTGTGTGTGTGTGGGGGGGGGTTTCCCTTTCCAGGGCCCGGGGGAGAAGATCAGCCTCCCCACTGCTCTTGTGGGGCCAGAGGCCTTTGTGCGGCTTCAGGGGGCCTCCCTGAGGAGGGGGAGGCATCTCTTTTGTCCTTCCCAGGTGCCTCAAACACTGGCCTCTGCTGCACCAAGAGATCCCTCCCCCCATTTCTACTTGCAATATGGCACCTGCCCCCTCCCCCTCCACACAAAGGATCTGGGGGGTGGGGAGCCAGAGGGCCCGGTGGCCGTCTCGGAGGCCGTCTCCCCCTCCCTCTTGAGAACTCACGTCTGCCGCTGGGTCCTTGGCGGGGGAGGAGGAGCCGTTGCTGCTGCTCTTGGCCTCGGTGGGCGAGTGGCTGCTGGGCTGGACCACATCCGGTAGGTTGGTGTAGCCGTTGCTGTCACTGTGGAGCAGGCCCCGCTCCTCGGGCGTCTGGGAGGGGAGGGCGGGCGCGGGGTGAGGAGGGCGTGGGCAGAAGCACTGGGTGTGTGCAAGGACCTGGCCGCCAAGGAGCCTGGGGGCCCGCAAGCCGGTGGGGGGGACGGCCGCGGCTGAACAGCTTCTTGGCGGTTTCAAACGGGAGAGGGACGGCCCCTTCCTGGCTCGCCCTCGGCCCCAAGAGAGAGGACTGCCACTGCCCGCAGGCCCGGGGCCGGCTGCTCACCCGCTGCACCAGCATGGTCCCCTCGCCATAGGAGCTCTCAGAGCCTCCGCTGCCGCCACCTGCGAGGTCCTCCACGTCGTGTACCACCATGGTGCTCACCGAGTCCGTGTCCCCGTCTCTGCGGAGGAGAGGGGGTGAGGTCAGGACATGCTCAAGGGCACCCTCACCAGGAGCTCCAGCCACGCCACACCCCCACAGAAAGCCACGGCTGGGGAGACTCAACTCCGTTCTTGGAGACCCAGCAGCAGCACCAGCAACAGGGACTGAACATTCCATCAGCGTGAGGGGGAGCCGTGTGTGTGTGTGTGTGTGTGTGTGTAAGGCCTGGGTGACTCCCATCTTTGTCGTGTGCTGGTGCTCAGTTGTCCCGAGTCTTGTGAGAGGGTGGCGTTGGCCGCTCTCAAGGAAACTCCCACCCCCGCTCGTTAGCAGAGCTTCTCTTCAATGGCCGGGAGGTTTCTTCCCTCAACGGGAAGGCAGCTGCCGAATGGCCCAACCCATCCAAGCATCTGGGACAGCTTAGCTAATGACTGCTTGACTGGCAGCCAGCGTTTAGGGCAGAAGGCGCCTCGTTTCAGCTGTGCACATGGGTCTTGGGTCCTGGCAGGCTTTGCTGTGTGTCTGAGCCCTTGAGGCCCAGCTGGTGGGCCCGCAGCCTTCAGCTTCTGCACATTTGAGAAGTTATTAAAAATCTCCTTGGAAGCAAACCTGCAGCCCCTCACAGCCAGTGAGTTTCAGCAATGCCCTCTTCAGAAGACTCCCGCAGCAGCATGCCCGTGCCAAGGCCGCCCTCACCTGGCCCCTGGGGTGTCCGTGCCCGCCTCGGAACGCTCCCCCTCGGCCTCCTCCTCTTCCTCCTCCTCCTCCTCCTCGCTGGAGTCCACCTCCTCGCTGGAGGATGAGTAGTCCATGGCCTTCTTGAGGGGCTTGGGGGCTGCATCCTCTGGGCGTTCTCGCAGCAGCACAAAGTTCTAGGAAGGAAGGGTGAGTGCGCGTGCGTCAGTGAGGGGCTGGGAGGGAAGCAGGCGGAAGCATCACCAGCCCGGCTGCTGCTGGAATGCTGCCGCTGCTGCTGCCACTGCTGGGGAACCCACAGGGAGACGGGGGGCACCCGACAAGCCCTCGGCGGGGGAGAGGGCAGGAGGGCCCTCCGGACACCCCAGCCCCAGCCCTCCCTCCACTGCCTGGCCCTGACCACACACAGGCCTTCCCCTCCTGAAGAGCCGGGCCTTTGCCTGCCCCGCTCCAACCTTTTTAACCTGCTTGGACAGACAGCAACCCTCTGGGAATCCAGCCTCCCCCACCCCCCACCTTCCCCTCCAGTTTCCCAATGGGGAGGGGCCATGGCTCAGGAGAAGGAAGAACCTCTGCTTGGCGTGCAGAAGGCCCCGGGTCCCATCCCCAGCGGCATCTCCAGGTCAAAGGCGGACTGGGGCGGAGGTGACGGGAAAGGCCTCTCTCTGCCTCCTGAGACACCCTGGGGAGCCGCTGGCAGTCTGAGTACCCCCCCCCGGACGGATGCCAGAAGGGCCCGGGGCCTGATGCGGCGGAAGGCAAGAGCTTCACGTGTCATCAGGGTGTGTGTGGGG